TTTGCAACAGATTGGCTGTTAATCTCGTGACCCGGAGTGAGCCAATCTTCGTACACGTTTTTAGTTCTAATGTAAGTCTGTAAGGCAGAATCATTATACAATCATGGGAATTCCTCATCTCCTAAATCATCTCTCCCCTTATGGGGTATTTGGGCCTCTCGACGGTGACAGAGTTGTCATTGATGGCCCTGCTTTGGCATACCATATCTACCATCTCTGTACGAGAAGTACTTCCGGTCTGCCATCCTACGATATCCTCGGAAGAACCGCGATAGGATGGTTAGAAGAAGTCACCAGTCATGATATATCAATGTAATTCTTTCCTCCAAGGCATGAAAAGACCTAAGCTAAAGTTCAAAGCGCCGCCATCTACTTTGATGGCTTCCTCCCAGCATCAAAAGCAGAAGTCCGCCTCGAGAGGATACTCAAGGTATCCTCGTCCCTCAAGATCTTCCGCTCAGGTTTCCCCAACGGTTGCCCAGCCAAGCAAATTGCATCAACGCGTCTGTCACTACCACCTCTCTTCCCAACCGATGCCCCCAAACGAGACCAGCCCCTGGTCCCACCACCAGCATTTCTCGTCGCAGCCATCGTCGACAAGCTGGAATCGATCGAAAAGTATGCCTCTCTGGTCCGCCTGGTCCCCGGCGAAGCAGACGCCTACTGCGCAGAAGACGTGCTGCGCAACGGCGGAACCATCCTGACCTCGGACTCCGATCTGACCGTCCACGATCTAAAGACAGGATCTGTCGCCTTCTTCAGAGACCTCCACATCGTCACCACCGACGACGACAAACCCGCTCTCCTAGGCCCAAAATTCTCCCCATCAGAGATCGCCAAACGTCTACAGCTACCAGAGGACCACGGCATGCGCAGGTTCGCCTACGAGCTCTCCAAATCCACCCGGCCCAAATTCGCACAAGTCCTCGAAAACTGCAAAGGCGAGGTCGCAGATCCGGAAGAGTTCCGCGCCTTCTGCGCACCGTACGAGACACTGGAGACTACAGACTGGAGCGCTGTCCCGATCCTGGGCAGCCTCGACAAACCCTACCTCGACGCGAGGCTATCCGAGGTTGTCCTGCAGTGCGTGGGCTACTCCGGGGTAGCGAAGCCGCTCGCGGCCGACTCCGGCGCCGCGGGCTGCATGATGTGTCTCCCGCCTCTCCTAGACTGTCCAGCCCGTGCTAGCGCATGGGATACCAGCGCTTCCGTGAGACAGCTGGCATACAGCCTCACGTGTCTGCTGCGACCCGGGGGCGTCTCCCACGTGAGGGAGTACCGAAGAATGTCGTCTGGCGTGAACCAGGGCAAGTACATGGCGATGCTGCCCCGGCCCTGGATCAAGGACTCGATGGATGCTCTCCTCAAGACCTTGACCAAGGCAAAAAGTAGCCTTACCCAAAAGGGCTCGTCCTGGCAGGCAGTCAGCTTGCAGCTCCTTCTCGCTCACGCGCAGGAAGAAGATAAGCTGGATGCGTGTCTGAGCTCCATCAAGCTAGGCCAATCGGTGTCGGCAGACTCGAACCTCGTCCCGTGGGATGTCGTGCACTTATCGGCGCAGATCCACGCGACGCTCTACTCTCTCCGCATCTTGGCCCAGGTCCTGGATCTCATGTACGAGGTCGGAGCCAAGGACCCGATCCAAGGCTCCAAGCAACTGCGCGAGTTGTTGTCCACATTGCCACCCCTCACTGAGTATCCATCAGTCGATGGGACAATGCGCCTTCTCGCGGGTATGAAAACCAGTGGTGCGCTTGGCAAGGTCGCCACGGCGCTGGGTATTTCGGACGATTTGCTTTTGCCATCAAAAGAAGCCAAAAATCAGAAAAAGAAGCGGAAGAAGATGGCAGACGCAGAATCTCGCATGAGGCCCGAGAAGAAAGTGTCTTCAAATCCCTTTGATATCCTGGGTAGCGAATAACAAGGCTAAAGACGCCCGACATAGCCGCCGCCTATTTCCGCCGGAGCACTTCCATTCAGCATAAAAAGCGATTAGGGAAGCGAAAGCCTTATACCCGTGATCTCACATATAACAGTGTCATTATTCGTATCATACAACGACTACTCAAAACAGGGTTCCATTGTCGTGAACCTGCGGAATGAAACCAGGGCACAGCCAACCTCTGCCCTCAGGGCAAGTGAAGATGACCTTCCCATCTCCGCGCAACAAACCCATCTTGAACTGCCAATCGGTCTTCACAGCGATGCCATTGATCCGCAGCCAGTACGCCAGTATACCTTCAGGCGTACATCCCTCCTGGCCCTCTGGCTTCTTCTCCCTGGTCTTGGTATTGAATCCCTTCCACTTCGCCGTCTCCTTCTCCAGAGTCCGCATGTGGATAAACTCGCGGTAGAGCGCGAGGTAAGTAAACATGGCATTGGGGCGTCCAAAGGCGGTGATGTCTGTAACGCCCGCGCGCAGCTCGCCGTCGTGGAGCATGGCGTACCACGTCCAGTCCAGAGTAACGCGGGGTGCCAGGATGCCGTTTTCGGGTACCTTGAGCGACGAGAGGGCAGGCGAGTCGCCCCAGTACAGCAGATCGAGACGGCCCTTGTAGATGTAATCGTAGGATATGCCCTCCTTTATCATGTAGCTCTGCACCTGCAGGCTGGCGAGGTATAGTGCCTTCCACTGACTGAGCTGGTGGTTGAGTTTATCGTTGCCGCACTCCTTCACCAGCACCTCGGGAGGATCCACGGCGTTCTCCTTCACACTGTCCAATTTCAGAATCTCCACAGTCTTGAGCGCGTCTCCAAAGCACGACTTCAGGTGCTTGGTTATGCTGTCCTTGTCCACCGGGTCACCGGAATCGTGGTTGACATCTTCCAGGTACGTAAACACGTGTACGTCGACACCGCCGCTCCCAGTCCACGTCTTGACGAGCTTATTATTCTGCTCCTTGCAAGTCTTCAAATAGGTGCGCAAAAAGCCGGTGTACACGATCGCGAGACGTCCCATATCATCTGAGGCGCGGTGGAGGAGGCAGGTGGTTTTGCTCCCAGCGCGAATATGCAGCTTTCCAGAGTCCAAAAGCTCCAGAACCGGTTTCTCGTCGCCACTCTCAACAGAAGCGCACTCGGGGAGGAGATTCGAGATCCATGGCGTTGCGCCGTACGGGGCAGCAGTCTCGTTTGCCCACGAGAGCATCAGCACGCCCTCCTGGGTGAGCTCGACCTGCCATGATACGGGCCAGTGGTACTCGGTATCGGACGTGAACAACTCGATCTCTGTTTTGGTGTCGAGGAGCGAAAGGGAACCGCTATCGAGAAGATTGAGTTCGTAGCGACCGTTTGGCGAGGCGAGACGGAACGGCGACAGCGACTGGCCAGCTTCGAGCTTTGAGACCGTCTTCTTCGTATCGGGTTTCGCGCCTGTGGCGGGAGCAGGTGTTGGCTTTGGAGCCGCGTTTGCCACGCTGTGCGATGTAGCAATTGAAGCCAGAGATGTGATCACCTCGTTGGCATGATCTCCGACGGGGCCGTTCGGTTTATCGGCACCTTTCGAGACATCTTTGCCGCCTGTCGTTTGGGCGTTGTGGCCGAGCTGAGTGGGCACGTTGTAGCCTACGTGGGGGAGCTGCGGAACTAGGAAGATTGCCGCGACGAGAAAGACGGCGGCCACAATGGCCAGCCGCGTACAGGTACCGCTTAGCATCTTTCAATGTGTTGTGTTGTTTCTCGAAAGACTGTCCATTGCTGTGACTGTCACGGCCTTTGATTTGCGCCTTCTGCTCGTGATGAAAGGGGCCTGCCGAGGCGTCTGATTCTCACAGCGGCACGGCGGCAGGTTCGCGAGGGCCAAGCACATCGCTTGGAGCTTATCGCTTATCGGAGCTTGGGCGAGCATAAAGCTGCACAATTCCGCCCGTGAGCATCTGAGCCCCGCTTAGTTGCATATCGGTATCATCTCATCATCGGATTCAGTAAGCTACGCAATGACTACCTTACCAGACAGTCAATCCCGATCTCAATTGTGAATAAGAGCGAGAGTCAGAGCTTCTGTGATGGTCAATTTGATTATCCTAATCCACATTGCGATGCACTATGTAGTTGTTTCAGGGAGATAGTGGGCATCCTACCATTAACTGGGCATGATTTACTGCGCTATTCATCCAGAAGTGCTGAATTATTTGGACAATACTGAAACAGTACGGGCACCGAGTGATGATAATCTGCTATGAGTCATAAATTGCAATGTTCATGTTGCCAGTATCACTCTTATCTTTGTATGCCATAAAATGCATGTTGATAGTAGATCGAAGGATGAACTTCGAGAGTGCTATCTGAAGATCTTGAGACGGAGCTAAAGAATTTGGCTCTACGTAAGTGTTGAAGGAAAATGAATTCATGCGGCACCCGTCATATTTTGGTGGTATGGCTTCCACCCTAAGTCCTAGAAGTCCTGAGTGGGACAGGCTCAGCGCTATCATTAAGTCCAGTGGTCACTGGAACGGCTTCGTAGCCGGCCGGTAGTCGTCCCTCCCGACCAGACTTCATTCCAACTTTAGAGACCTCAGTATCACGCCAGAGGCGGGTCATGGGACGGAATCATCAGCATAGACTTACACGTACACATGTACACGAGTTCCACGACCACTGGGATCCACGTTGCTAACGCAACAGTTTGTCCCAAGCTCCAGCTTTGCCGATCACTCGGACGCCCTGTGATATCTAATGTCTTCCTCCGAATGGGGTATAGCAGGAAGAGCAAGTACCACATCAAAGCCAGGAGAACTAGTAACACGAGATAAGTTCTCTTGGAATGCAAAAAAGTGAGGCGGGAATCCAAGCTCATTCTCTCTAGGCTGTTGTTGCCCCCAAACGCTGATATTCTCCGATCTGCTCGGCTGAAAGGCCAAGTGTTCGATCGGTAGTCAGCGCCACGGTCTTGTAGTAAAACAGGAGCTCCAGCTCTCCGTTTCTGGATATCATTTTGATCCATGACGGGACAAAATAGAAGAGGAGGATGGCATTAAGTGCCGATCATAGTGTCGTTATGGTTATGTAAGACCTAGAGTGCAGAAGCTCGGAATCACTCGATGTCTTTGAGAATGGAAGGATCTACCTACACCTATCCCTACAATATCGTCATCCATCTCAAAGTTGAGATGGGAGCGAAGCTCGACAGCGCACTCCTCATCAAAACTCCCATTCGGTTCTATTAGCCCAAATCGGTAGAAAGCTCGGTGGTTCGCGTATGTGTGAAAGGGTCCAAGGCTCGGGCTCGTTTGCGGTGAGGTTATCGTACCATCCGATAAACTGAGCTCTCGAAGTCAGTATCGTGGATACATTATGGTGTTTGAGTGCGTCAATCATATACGCTTCAACATCTGGCAGTGGTACTCTCTAAGCTCCATGACGAAGATACGGTGCTGTGAATGCGCCGTACGTTATGCAATCGTTGATGAAGTCGATTGGCTGAAGTGATGGCGCCGTCCATGGCTCGTCTGATCGTAGCTCGCTCATTCGCTTTACTTTTCGGTTAGAGTAAGTCGCCGAATATGGCCATGGTATTACAATAAGCCGAAGCTACAGTTGAAGTACCGATCAATTTCGGTCACAGCTTCATCAATGTCTTTCAGAAGAACATAAGAAAGGCTTCCAGTAATGGACTCATCGTCCTTATGATGGCTGCCAAGTCCTTTTGGTGACAACCGCGAGATGTTGGATAATGTGCATGCCGGACAGGCAACCGCAGATGACCCTGGAGCAACACTTCTGATTCGCCGAAAACCATAAGATCGTCATGAGCCTGGTTCAGCTATCAACTGTGCCAACATCCTTCACACACTAATTATAGAAGACAATCCCCTGTGATCCTTATATACGCCATGAAAGCTTGCCCTTCAGAGGCGAACGAGATGTCGCTCTGACAGTACTAGAGCTAGTTTCTGCATTGGTAAGTGTCATCTTCAACCTCACTACTAGATTGAAGAGTAATGTAAACATCGCTCTCAAGAACACACGACGTCGGACATCAAGAGCGAGTTGACACATTCGCATTTGAACTTACTTGCTATTGTAGAACCGAAACTTTACGCACCATTCTCTCTTGGCGGCAAAGAAACCTGTTACGATACTGATTGCAACGGGCTGTCTTCCCAGCACAACGAATCGTCTTGGTAAAAGAATCAGCCGTGGATTGAACGACTACCTAGTCTAACTTGATACCCGGAGGTCAAGGTGAGCTATGGTATCGCTATGTGATGCCCTATCTCCAAGTTTCGTTCCAGACGGTGATCGCCACTTCATAAAAGGTATGAGTTGAAGTATGAGACTGATCAATGTTACCATATGTACGTCTCGTCGATGAAGGTTATTCGAATAGATGCCCGCAGGGCGAGTTCGCTCACAATGCAGCGAGCTTCGTCTACCATCGGTGCAGGCCCACTGACGACGACCGCCAAGCTGCCGTCTGCATTGCCAACCTCCTCCTCCAAGACAGCACGGAGCCTGAATCTGTTGCCTACCGAGACGTTTGCATCGACGCCGTTGAGATCGACGCTCTGAACGAGCCCTTCGGTTCGCGAAGACCAATACAGCTTCGCGTTGCCGGGATACGTCTGCAGAATTGGGGCTACAGCTGTGATAGCAACACCTCCTATGATGCAGACAAGTTTCTGATACTTGCTGAGGTCATGGTGTGGAAGGTACCCTGCTTCGACAAAAACTGGCACTCGAGTGTGTGAGCGAAGCAGTCCTGTTGCCCCCGTGAAGGATCTGACCAGGAACGAAAGCCCGACGCGGGACTTCTCCTTGACAGCAGCCACCTCCATAACACTCGACTCCTTTGAGTAGGAGTTACCCGAACTCTGAGGTGGGATAATACTGTGATTCATCGACTTTGCTGAAGCAGGCTTCACTCTGGAGGCCAAAATGGAGAACGGATGGCTCTCCCAAGGTCGCCATGTAAGTGTTGGGAAGTAGAGGTAGGCGTGCCCGCTCCCGACCGCGCCGTCAATGTCCAGCTGCATATACTCCTCGTCGATGATGGTGATGTCAGCCCACATCAAGCCATTCCTCGCCATCCGGATTACTCTCGCTACCCGATCGAACCCCCAAACGGCGAAGCAGATGTACATCCAGATCTCATAACCCCACTGGTCTTGGAATCTGTAGACAATGTGTAGGTACGATCCCACCACGGCGAAAACAGCAAGGACGATATGAACAGCCAGGAACAGCTCGTAGAGTTTGGCGCGGAAGGGAATGACCGAAGCCGGCAACAAGATGCTCATTGCCAGCGTGCCGATGATGCCCCAGACCCAGTAGGGCAGCTTGGCTTCGATATCATGCTGGCCCATGCTGACGTAGATCTGAAGCCAAGCTGCCGAATGAAGGCAGGCCTGAAGAGTACAAAAGTACGCGGTCCACCGATGCAAGAGCATGAAAGTGGACTGGGTCCAGTCAGTAACCCAGTAGAGGAAGTTGTTTCTCCCGGCGTAGAGGATGAGAAGCGGTAAGTTCGCAAAACTCAGGACACCCATGCGATTGCTAAAGGACGTCAAGAGCTCCTGGTCCTTGTTATTGACCCACCAGGCGTTGGGCTGGGCCGAGTCGTAGCCTACACCACTGAGGACGACATTGACGGCTACCATGTAGAAGATCAATATTGCCTGACCACGTGTTGGCATGATCAGCAGGTTGAAATAAGGAGCCTTGTGTCTCCGCCCGAACAACGGTGGGTCGATGAAGAGAGCGTGGATCTTCGAGATAAGCAGTTTGGGCAGCGGGATAAACCGAAGCAAAGAGAAGAAGATTGGGACTGCTGCGCCCAGGGCAATTAGGATGAGACTTTGACAAGGTTAGCAAGACTTCATCCCAGAACATAAAGACAAGACCTACCCATATCTCTCGTGGGCAACCTCCATCTTCTCGAACATGCCCATGGTGTTGTACTGCACTTGATAGTCGGCATCTGACACCAGAGACTTTTCCTTCAGAGGCAATGCAAACACTACAGTGGCTGTAGGAGTTCCATTCACATTGCTGAGTGCCTCCTGGTAGGTCCACTTCGGCGCTGGGGGGTAGGCATTGACATTGACGCCTGGTTCGTCAAGCCTCCTATGGCTATTGCGGATGCTAGCTTCGGTCGACTGCCAGTACTTTTCGATCTCCCATATTGAGAGATCAGTACATCTCTGTGGGAAGACGCTAGTCAGCTTTGGGTTCTGGTTTAAGCAGAGGGCCGAACTCACCGTATGAATGCACCATGCAAAAGAAGTCAGAAAGACGTTGTCATTGGCATAGCATTCCGGCGAGGTATCGGCCATGGTCATGCCATGAATCTCCATCACATTGCTGCAATTAAGCGGACTGGCTGAAAGTGCCACACGACACGAGTACGCACACAGGGGCTCGTTGAGGAATTAGTCCATGAGATTCCACAATGTTGAACATAACAACTAACCTGGTACATGGTGATACCATAGCCAATGAGTCCATGTCCTGCAATGCCCACTTCTTCAGCAACCACACCGCCAGCCATACCTGCGGCCGCTAGAAAAACGGCCGCAAGGCCTGGAAGTGAAGACATCCTCATGGACTGGACCACTTTCAACGAGTGTAGCAACGTACGCAGTCTCGATTGGGCTAGAAACTATCCACAATTCTGCCTCTTGCGTCGAAAGGAATGTGTTTAAAAGTTCGGAATCGGTCTCGGTTTGATTTTTGGACAAACCTAAGTCCGTATTGTGGGCAGTCAATGTCTTTCATAGAACTGAACTAGAATGGGCGCATGCTTTGCCTGACTACTGTGCCGAGGTGCCGGTTCTACGAGCCATTGACCATCATCTCTGAATCATACACAAATCGATGAACTGGGAGAATACCGATCCTCGCCAAGACCCGTTGCCAAGTCCGATTCATTTGGGATGAGTTCTGTCATTCAATATGTTTCCCCGGGTTCTGCTGTCGATTTGCCGGTGGTTCGCGGTGTCCACCCCGATTCCCCGACCCGAGCTCAACCTCAATTCCCGGTCTACAAGTGAGCCAGTGGAACATTAGTTCCGCCTTCCTAATCGAGCTTTACGACTATTGGAACAATCTAAAAATCGAAAGCAGTTTGAAAGATCATCGTAACTGTTTTAGAATCTGGCTGTGAAACATTTGGGCTCCTTTCCTCTACCTTGAGGGGGAAACGGCGATAGAAAATTTGTTTGGAGTATAGTGGAACTTTATCCCAGCCAGTGAAATCCTCCAGGCATGAAGCAATAATCTGATGAACCCAGTGACTTGGAAAAATGTCTCCATATGATTTGAGAACATTGTTCCATAAATACTGATGATGAAGCATTCGAGTTTCTAGTCGAGAAAACACCTGACTTGCTGATTGAAATCATAGGTTTCGCAGAAGTGAGCTCGTGTTAAGGAGCGGTTTAGACTCATTATTACATCGAACCGTCACCTATGTGGTTCAAATCAGCTTGTGAATCCTGTGTAATGGTCCATATCTAGTGTGGTGGTGAGTTGGGTGGTCGCTAGGGACCTCAATTGCCAGAGACACAATTTGTCCTCAGGCTCCTCATTCCCTTGAGTGTTCCTATGATAACATTTGATATGTCAATGCTTGTGGAGTTATGGCATAGGTCTTAGATCAAAGCCCAAAGCCAGTTCGTAAGCGAAGATTCGCCAGTTCTTCATACTTGTATTGTTGGTAAATTGTCACTATCTACGACCAACGGCGCTGGTGAAAAATTGCTTTCTGGTACTAATATACACCGAAGCCCAAAGATTTTGTGCTTGTTTGCTAAATTACTTCTTAGGCTGACTCTTCTGTTCCTTCGCATCGTCAAATGACCTCTTCTCCTTTCTGACGTTCTTCCACTCCAAGAGAATTGCAAAGAGGAATGATATGGCGGCTAGGATCATGGCCAGCTCAAAAGTTCTCGTTAAGGAAGTGTTGACCTTGTCCAATGCATTCTGATACTCAGCGGTCCCATTTCCGAAAATCTTTTGCAGGTTGTCCTTAATCTGAGTAGCTCCGCCATCGCCATAAATCTTAGCAGCAACGGCACTACCAAGGTTCTTGGAAAGCTCTTGCTGGAAGACACTTTGCGCAATAGGTACTGATAGAGCAACTCCTAAAAGTCTCGTGAAAAGGGTCAGACTAGTGCCCTTGGGAATCTTCTCGTTGGGCAGTACGGTCTGAACGGCTACGTTGGCCTGTTCGGCTCCGACACCGACGCCAGCACCGACAAGAATCTGAGCGCCAACACTGAAAATCGTTATCAGTAACCTGAAGGATCTCCGGTAGAGTAGATGGTAGACTTACAGTATGCCAAGTGCAGCATCAGACTTGACGGTCATCAAGAGCGCAGAACCGGCTGTGACCAGGAGGGAACCCAGAATTACGAATGGATTGTAGAATCCAATCGCCATCACAAGACCTCCAGCTACAATTGAGCCAACGGCTGTACTGATGCAGAGTGCTAGCTGTTTCAAGCCAGAGGATTCGGCATCATCTC